CCGCCACTGTTTGCAGTATCGCTCGCCGCTACCACACAGTTGATGTGCATCAGCATTGACAGGAGTTCATCCTGATATCCTGATAGGGCAGTAGGCAAAAAGAAGCAGTTTGCATGCTGATCGGTTCAATCCCTACAGTAGCTCCTCCGATCTGCGTGTTGAAGTGTCCTTAGCCAGAATCCTAAACCCAAGTTGCCCCTCATGGATACATCACAGTGTGAGTGTAAATTTTAAACAAAGAGCTTAAAGACATCGGACATGTGAATGCATATGCTTATGGGTGAATGAAGCATGTAGAAGAAAATACTTTGAGACCTCTCTACTTAAATAAATAAGCCCACAAAATATACTCAGCCTGTAATATTCTGCTTGGGTGTAATGTAATTAGCTATAACACTGTGGAAAACTGTGCTAAAAATTTGCAGTGTAAATTAGAGACTACAAGCTGGTGTGCTATGCACCAAGCTGGCTGCTTGGTGCATAGCACATATGGAGAGAACTTGGAAAACCTTTTGTGGCTAGCTACAGCTTTTAAGCCAAATGGGAAGCTTGAGTGGTCTTTCTGAGCCTGATCACAACCCTATTTTTCTTTGGGGTGCAATCAAGTGCACTAGTTGTAAGAACAGTACCTCTGTGAAATCACCGAGCAGACACTGACGCAAATCAATGGAAGTGTAGAAAATGACTCATGGTCTTCTAGCAGCATGAGGTCTAACGTCTCACATCATCTCCCGTTCCTTCTGTAGCTTTCTTCCTAGTTTTCCAAGCTTGGCAAGAATTCGCCAACAATGACAAAAAAAGCTTTTTACTAGAAAGGTCACAGCGGAGGCTGCATCATAACAGGACCAGAGGAAAGTTGCTGCATGAAGGCCAGAGATGAATGTGATATTCGCCCAACATGAGGGGAAGAGTCTTGTACACACATGAAAGTCTTTGTCCAGCCAAACTGAAAGTCACAGAGTGCATTTAGCTCTAAAGAAATCTTTTTCTGTCATTTTATTTTTGTTTCTCGCATCTGAAACTGAAACTACATGTGCAATGTGTGCGCTGACATTTTAGCGCTCTGCCAGCTCGTACGCATTTGATGCCAAACAGCGCTCGAGCAGCAGAAGCGAAACGGCGAGTGAGGTTGAGTCGTTTTCTACTCATCCCTGCGGTGCTGATTTTGGCAATTCATCGCTCTGTCTGTGTTTCCACAGGGCCTCCAGGAAAACGTGGAAGGATGGGAAGAAGAGGGGAACCTGGTAAGTAATGCCCATCAAATCATTTAACGGTTTATTTTTCCTTTTAACCTCTTTCCCTGGAAGACACACGCTTTTTTTTTTCCTTCATCGCACTCACACACCATCCGTCTTTTTCCTGTGTGACTGGGTAAGTTCGAGGCGAGGGCCCAGCAAAGGCAGTGATCCATGAGTCAGGCCACTGGATGATGGGCTTCAGTTGGCCCTTCTCCCTGTCCCTTTCCATTTGCGCCAACATAGTGCTAACTCTGGCCATGTGGTTCCACTAACTTTGCCCAGATGTCAGTCCTTCTTGCTGAGCGGTAGCAGCTGCTGTAGTACGAGCCTAATGAGTCTGCCCCGCCAACATTGCTACCCACCATTATGGTGCTGCTTTTTCAATCGATCCAAACCACAAAAACACTCCACGAGGAACCAAAACAGAGCAAGGACATAAGTCTTGTTTCGCAAATGTCATCGTGAAAGATGGAGCGGATGTTGTGCAAGTCTCACTCATCCCGATTTTTAAATGTTTCTTATTAAAAGTGGGCTCCACGACAGTATTAGGCAATTTTATCAAAACCTGCAGGATATGTGTCACTGTCATAAAATTTCCATTGTGGTTGTGAATCACTGAGGTGGATGTTTACAGATGGGATCTGTTCTTGTGAACACGGTGACTAAGTGAAAGATCATCAGTGATCCCTTTCTGCTTGTCTGCTTACTTTATTTTATCTGATCAAACGTCCATCATTTAGGTGACGGGTCGAGCAAAACGTCCCATAAATCTCGACTCGGAATTGCATGTTTTTTAATTTCTGTTCTAGAGGACGGCCAAACAGTAAATTTCTGTTTTCTAGAAATCGCAGCAGAAGGTGAACTCCATCAATGTGTTAGTCTCTTGCTGGCATGAACAGCCTGTGTGTGGTTTGCGCAATTTGGTTCTCTTTGGAGATGCAAATCTTAAGTCTTAATCTTACCGTTTACAGAGTTTCACTCATTTTCTGAAACTACTAAAAAAAAAAACAAGAAGTGAAATTAGATTTGTTAGGGTCAATTTGCTGTGGCAGATTTGGTGGACTAGTAAGTGTTCACGGCAGCGTTACGGTCTCAGCGGGACTGACCCACTTCAGCATTATACCTTACTCATGTTTTTAATGGATTTTGGAGAGCTGTAGTGACCGGTCTCAAATCTCGATAATCAGTTTACTGTCTAACTAAATTTATATTAGCATAAAATGTGGAAATCCCTTTGGGTGTCCTCCAGGTCCGTTTAATGGAAACCTCATCATTACGAGCAGGGGTGGGGAAATAATTTAAGAAACTGGGACTGTTGTGGAGGCCCACACCCTTGGGAAAATTAATTACCCACCCCTGATTTGGAGGATGTGTGCTGCTAAGGTTTCAGCCGAGAGTGGACGCCTATTTGAGGCAGATGGTCCGTGTCTGAAGGGCCGTCGTGGTTCTGTTTAGGCTATCGCTTGTATTTTTTAGTCACTCATCCTCACACTGCATCCTGGCTCAGAGCGAGTACGTATATGAAATGGAGAGGCTGTTTCGCCATCCTGATGCTGATGACTCCAGGACAACATTTTAAAAGGCCAGAAGAGGTTTTTCTCCATTCTCTCAGAGAAAAAAAAAACAAATGAGAGTGGAGAAGGGAGCGCACAAACACGAATAACAGGAAAGAGGGCAGACAGAGTAGTTAAGCATCTTAAAATCAGCCCTCGCTGTCGTCTTCTCTCTTACATGCCTCGTTTTTTTTTTTCTTCAAATTGTTTCCTTTTCTCTTATGTTTGCTCCTGCGTCTCTTTGTTTCTCAGTAGTCTACAAGCACATATACACACCTGTCCCAAGTTCAGTAGTTAAAGCTTGTCTTTCTGTGTGGCTTTCCAAGCTAGTGTGTTTGTTTGCCTAACCGTCTGGCCCGGGAGGTCCCCGTCGAAGCATCCAGACACAGATAAACTTTCATCCCTCATGAACCTAAACGCCTCCCTCCTCTTCTTGACACATGCTCGCTCCTAAAACATGCATTTTCATCTCTCTCTACGTATGCAAAGCTCCTGCTAAATCAAAGAGCCCACTTCAAGGCCAGAATAGAATCTGTTCATGTTAACAAGGATTTTTTTGTGTGTGTGTTTTATGGAGAGCCTGTTTTCAGTCTTGTTGGTGTTTGATGTCGTACTCATGCTGATGAGGTATGCTGTACTGAAGCCGCCAAGGTGGCAGAGCCCCAAGTGACATCATACACTATAAGCTGCATTAATCAGCATCACTATCGGTTTTATCGGATAGCATATTAAGGAATAGCTAATAAAAATTCTGCTAATGATGCGTTCACTTTGTAGGGATTTAAGTGATTTAATAGTGCTCCTGGTCTTAGCCCTGGACTTTAAGGAGATTATTTAAAAAAAAAAAAAAAAGGCCACTAACAACAAAAGGAGTTCTTTGATCATTACTTTTGTTTTCTGTTAGGCAAAGAATGAAAAGCTGAATGTAGTTTTGCTGCTGAGGCTCAACATCAGAGCATTTCAATCACGACAGAAAGACTGCCCCGGAGAAATCTCAGAAGCATCTCATTCTTTTTCTCCCCCCACAACTTTAAAGGGACAGACAGTTTGCCAGCACGCCCCGACCTTTTTACTCGCTGTTTTTCCGCCATCCAATACGCCCTTATTTTCTTAAGAAACAAAGTCCTGACATGACTTCATTTCCTAATGCAAAACATGACTCATTATCCAGCAGTCTGTTTATCATAACGGGTTCACCACAAACTGCGCTGGCGGCAGCTCTAATATGTTTGTTCTGTACTGTATTTAGGTGGTTAATTGCAGCCATCATCTAACGAACCACATTGCATGTGCAGGTTTTTTCTTTTTTTGGTTTTTTTTGTTGCAGACCACTGTTCAGAGGAATTGATTGCTATATAAACCAGAGCCTGCTGCAGCTCTCGCATGTTGTGCTTCATGTGTCTGTAGAGGCTTGTAGCATTTACTTTCTAACGCTTGGTTTCTCTTTTGTGTTGCAGGGCTTCCTGTAAGTACCATTCCACCTCATCCAGGTAGTATGGAAACAAACTAAAGAGAGGTTTCAACATCAGTCACGCATGCGCACGCATCCACCTTGCATCATCCCTCGCTGTGCGTCGTGCACGGCCCGGCAAACTGCGGGAGTTGCCAGGAATCCTTTCACTCACAGACATACAGACTGTCACAGACTCACTCGCACATGCATCCGCAGAGAACGCCAATAAATGGACCACCTGTGCATGTGGGTGTCCATGACTGTGCGTTTGAGTCTTTCATGGTGATGGTTAGGGAGGTGTGACTTATTTGCAGTGAGTTATTCTCCTCTGTGGGACTGTAACTCCTGCTGACACTCTGACACACTAGGTAGATAAAACACACCGTTACTCAAAGCCTTGTACAGAGTGGAAAACATGCATGATGCAGCTGCCTTCTGATATGTTTTTTGTTTTGTTTTTTCCATCTGCATTTTAAATGTCCAGTTTCAGTTTTTATGCCCTTCTTTTTCTTTCTTTTTTTCATTAAATTGTCCCATGTGGCACTGATCAGATGTGCAGAATTGGAAATGCTCTGAAACGCACCGTGACGTGCTTCCAGACACATCAGAACAAAAACAGCATGTCCGGCCAAACGGGATTTGTTCGATTGGTCTGCATCTGATCCACACTAGGCGTGCATGAAACAATGTCTTCTCTTAAAGACCCCCCAAAACTTACAGCCTACATCCCATAAAGTTGATGGGAAGGTGTGGTAATCCAGTCACTCGCTACTCTGCAAAGTAGCAATGTGTCAGTGCCGTTTATCTAAGTAATGTGCAGCGGCTGGTACTGTAGACACAATGAAAACAACTGATCTGATTTTGTTTTTTAATTATTTTTTGTGTCCAAGCGGCTTTTAGTTTAAAACCGTGGTTCATGTTTGAGAGCAGATGAGAAGAGAGAAAAAAAAATCCCAGAAAATGTGAGTCAAAAGCTGTGGTGTAATATGACTAAGTCCTCGCTAGTTCATTCGTTTCCAAATACAAATTTAGTCTCCATTTACAGTAAATTATTTCATTCAAGAATTCAATATTTTATATGAATAAATAAATAGTCAGCCACAATCCTTTAAATCATTAACCACTTGTCTCCTTTTATTATGTAGGATACCAGGCTACATGTTGGTCTTTGTGAGTTTGTTGTGTGCAGCTGTTAGTGTCTGTTCAGCCTTGATTAATGCTTCATGCTTCAATGTCTAACCTCACCAGGGCAAGGCTGGACGGGATGGATACCCGGTAAATTAGATTTTTATTTATCTTGTCACTCTATTCACTTCACCTACTCGTGTGTCTGGGCCTGGATCTGTTCTAACTTTTTCCCCACATTTATTCTGCCTTTTTCTATCCCGTCATCTTCTCTGCTTTTTCTTTCTAAATTACTAAATTAACTCATTTACACTTTCCATTACTTCCTCTTCATAACCAATAACCAACAGTGATGTATCCTGCCTCATAAATGAGAAGTAAGCTCACAGATATACAAAGCTCAGACTGGTTATATCACACGAAATATGACTAACCCAAGGCAGTTGGCAGGGGGAAACGCAGCACGTTTAGTTCTCATATGAGTAAACATAAAGAGCAGTAGACATAAATGCCCAATAATGTTAAGATATCATGAGTAAACACAAACCATAGGAGTGTAAACCGTACCACAATGTGAAACAGTCATCCACAAGGCTCCAATCATGGCTTGCAGCTTCTAGTTGGGCTTTAATATGCTTGGTGTAATGCAACGATGTACATGCATAGCTACTGAATGGAAAGCAGGTTACCAATTTCCACAAAAACACAGAGCCATGCCTAATATTATCCAGAGATACAGCGGCCTCTAGTGGACAGCTAGACCTTTTCTTTTCTTTTTTCTTTCCCCCACAATTTATGAGATGAAACGGTGATTTCTAGCTTATCATCCATTTATGAATACACCTACACAAAACAGTGTGACTTCTAGAAAAGTGTGCACAATGCTACAGTCTTCCCTGAGTGGACGTCTCGGCAATCCCCCCCAAGGTCAGACGATGCAGTGCTCAGAGAAATAGCAAAACCACAAAAGCATCTCAAACTCTACAGGCCTCAGTCGGTATGTTAAATGTTAAATTTTACGACTGTACAATTAGAAAAAGACTGGACAAGTATGGTTTGTTTGTTAGGGGTTGCGGGAGAAAGAAAAATATTGTAGCATGGTTTAAATTTGCAAAGTTGCTTCTGGAAAAATACAAAAAAAAAACCCACCAAAAACCAAAGACTCTGGGAAAAATGTGCTTTTTGAACAGACAAGACCAATGTGGATCTGTTTGGCCATAATGCACAGCCCCACATTTTGAGAACCACACACGATAAATCAACACAAACACCTCAAATCAGCTGACAAGTAGGGTAGTGAAGGGAGGATATGGAGCTACAGGACCTGGGCACCTTGTATTTTAGTCAGTCGTGAACTCCTCTGTATACCAAAGTACTCTAGAGTCAAATGAGAAGCCATCTGTCTGATAGCTAAAGCTTGGTCTAATTGAGCCACGCAACAGGACTCAATTTAAATCTAAACACAGCAGCTAATCTACAACAGAATGACTTAAAAATAATCAAAGTGTTGCAATGGCCCAAAGTCCAGACCTCAGCAGGACTGATTAGTCTGACAGTGCTGTGCACAAAACAAAACGCTTAAAGAAGAGCGAGCCAAGAGGCCACAACCATGTGAGACACTGATAAAGTCATACAGAAACATTTACTTCAGATAATTGATGCTAAAGGTGGTTCTACAAGCTCCTGAATCATGGGGTGCACTTAGTTTTTCACTCATTGACTGGTTCCATGGTGACCCGAAATAGTCACGCCATCTTAACTCCTACAACATCTTTGCCATGCTAGCTGTGCAGTTGTGGATGTTGGGAATGCGGGTATCTCGGGCTCTCGCTCAGGCATATTCCCATACAGTCTGCCTGGCACTGCACAGCCCCGCTGACGGGAAATGCCTGCTGCTAATTACACACAGGTGGACTCGGTGCACAGATAAGCCTGTGCACATTTGTGTTTTTTAGAGGATTTTGTTTGTTTGCTTGCTTGTTTGTTTTTGCCTGTGACCGTTCATCTCCATTGCCGTCTCCATTTGAAACCCCGGAGTTATTGCTCATTTTATTGTCTTGTTTTCATTTAACATTGTCCATTATCTGTGCATTGCTTAAACGCTGCACAATCTGGTTAATTCTTCCCAGTCTAGTTAGTATAATGAAATCAATCTGTATAGTGCTAAGATTACATAGATGAAACAGTGTAACGACTGGAGGAGCTCAGTCTGCTGTTGCAAGAGGCAGCTTCCTGGTCCGTGTGTGTGTGATTATAAAGACTGAGGATGCTGTGTGCTTGAGGTCACAGTGAAACAACAGCAGATTAATCACGCTGACAATTATCACGGACAGTGTATCATTACATTTAGCAGAAGCAGAGATGATAGAATTTCAAACATCTGACTTTAAAAAGGGCCGTTCCTCCTGTTGGGTATCAATGTTTGTGTGTCTGTGTGCACATGTGTGGAGGCCACATGTGTGCGGCCTCCGTCCAAACCACCTATTGTTTACGTATGTCTCTGTAACAAAGGCCAGGACTGTGGAAGTGATCAGAGGTATGTGTGTGGATGTGAGTTCTAGATGTGTTTTCACACCAGTATTTTCTCTCAGATGCTCATATGTGAGGAGGGCAATCAGCACAAATGAGACAAGTGGGTTACCGGAGACTGCTGCGCTGCTAACTGCATTGTGCCAGAGATTTGTGCCAACAAGACTTTTTTTCTCTTTGTTTCCATTCCTTAAACAAACAGCTAGATCGCTTCCCAGTGTTTTTTCATGTCCTCTCTCACCCCTATTATATCTCTCTGAATTACATACAATGCAGTTCAAGCTTTTAACCCTCCCAAGCCAAAAGTCTGTAAGTGTACAAACTAGCAAACAGTTCAACAAGATGATAATAACAGCTGTGGAAGTCCAAAGAAACAAAGGGCATCTAATCAAGTACTAATTAGAGGTACTTGTCCCTGATTTACTGGTAATACAATTTTCTGCTGCAATTTATTCTCCTGCACTGCAGTTTAGAGGCATTTTTTTAAATACACGTTTTTGTACCCTTTAATGGCCTTTGAATACTGTGTACTGCTACTTTTGATACTTAACCTTGGTTGGTTTGGAGTGTAACCAACTATTTTTTACATTTTGATATTGCAATTTTTCCATCAATCCGTTATCTTCAATTTGTCCTGAGTTGGGTTTCAGTTGAAGCCGACTAGGCAAACGTCCTTCTCACCAGCAACAGTTTCCAATTCATCCAAACTTGAGGAGAACCTGAGCTGTTCTCAAGCCAGATGAAATGTACACTGCTGAAAAGGACTGAAACATGACGTCCCAGAGGTGTTCGACTGGATTTAGGTCAGGCAAACGGGGGGCCCAGTCAGTGGTATCAATTCCTTCATCCTCCAGGAACTATCTGCATATGACGGCTCATGAGTCCAGCTATTGTTGTCCACCAGGAGGAACCCAGGACCCGCAGCAGCAGTGTAGCATCTGACAGTGGGTCTAAAGCGGAGTCCAGCCATCCTACAGAGGAAACTCATGTATTTGCAGCTTGTATTTGCAGCCCTACTCTGTCAGTCATTTATGCCGTGACCACAGATGAGGGTCGGATCTTAGATAGATTGGTCATTTGGAAAAGCCTTGACTTTTGGTTCAGTTCTCTCTTTACCACAACAGTCAATGTCACACTCCACGTTCCGTTACTCATGATTAAGATTTCAAGATGCTTGAATTCCATCGCTTGGTCCATCCTCTTTCATATCCTACCCATACATGAAGCCAACAGAACCACATCATCTACATGAGGAAGGTTGCAGGTTCCCAAAGTACATGCCCACCTAAGCCTTGCTACGCCTTGAGATCCTGTCCATGAATATCTCAAACAGGACTTAAGACAAGAGAGAATCCTAGCAGAGTCAAACTCCAGTGAAAACAGGCCCGACTTTGCAGAGAGTAAGTGGATACACTTGGTTTTACGAGGACACGATGGCCCATGACAACTGACTCACAACCACGTATTCCTGCAGTTCCCCCAACAGGTGCTCCCGGGGGACCTGGTCATAACCATTCTCCAAGCCACCAAAACACACCTAGCTTCAACATTCAAGCCTCTGTGAATTATCCAGAAGTTCTGCAAGGGTGAAGATCAAGTCCTCTGTTCCACAGCTGGGACTTGATCCTGAATCCAAGTTGTAATTGCAACTTTAAAATATTGGAATTAAAAAAAAAAATACTGGTCGAAAAAACATTGGATCCCTTCATCCACCACTGAAGACCTGTTAAAGAAACTGCATGCATGTGTGCAGTGTGAGTGCACATGAGCTGCACTTCATTTAGGTGGCATACACATGTTGAATTCATCAGACTAATCCATGCAGCAGCCCACTTCCAGAGAATCATCAGTTGTATGATAAACAGTGTTAATGAAATGCGGTTTGCGTGTCTCTCAAGCATAACACTACGATGTGCGTGTGTGTTTTTTGCGCGTGCTCATGTATGTTTTCTCCCCTCATGTAACCCTTGCCACTTCTTCCTCTCATAAATCACAGCCAAGGCGAGTTTCAGAAAAGAGTCTTCCCCCTGTCAAATAATCACAGTCAGGCAGGCCGACAGCAGGGCAGAGGGGTAAACACATACCCACACACACCAACTGACTCCTTTTCACATGTGCAGCATGCCCGGCCACAAGTGTGTTTATTCGCGAGTGCAACACTGAGACAGACAGCGGACCTCAATCAGCGAGAAGGGCCCAAGCTCGCCATTGTTCAGCCTTCAAGGCTGCAGGGCGCAGATGAAAGCCTGACGGGCACCCGGCAACATGTTGGCAATTTTCTGTCCCAAACAAACAGCACTCTGGTATGCTTTATTGTGCGCTTTGGTTCTGTTTGTAGCCACTGACTATTTCTAAGAGCCGTGTATCTACACATGTAGAGCTAACACCGATTTCTGTCCCTGTGGTGACAATAAACAAAGGTTTTCATGGGCAGCCTCAAGAGGAAAAAATTAATCATATCCCAGGAAGAGAAAGAGGAAAGCGCTCTCTCACTATCTCACCTTCACCTTAATGCCATAAAAGTTTGTTGAGCCTGCAGTTTGCAGCATATGCAGCGTGCGATTCTCGCTGAGACGCCGGCTCTGATGTGCAGACACCAGCTTTTCGTGCTGCATCCTCGACAATCACACCCTCGTGGATAATTAGCAGTCTGCACCATAGGGAGTACAGTAAAGGCAGCTAAAACAGCCTGCGGCTTCTTTCACCGGGATTAAGAGACGAGCGCATGCAAACAGACACACGCCTGAATCAACGCGCGCATTCACACATAAGCAAACACAGACATGTGCCCTCCTGCAGGCCATGTTATTTCCCAGAGATCTATTTAACAGCCTTCTAATTGATGGGAATGTGAGTCAAAGCGTTTTTTTTTTGTTGTTTTACCTGCTGAGGGATGCTGCAGGATAATGTGGCGCTGCAGACTAGAAATACAAGTTCTTTTTATGCGAGTGTGGTTCTTTATTTTGTTTTCTCCCACATTTACTTGAGGTTTTGGCGGTAATCTCCAGCTCTTTTTCTCACTTTTTCTAAACATTAATCTCCTATTTTTTATTTTATTTTTTGCCTTTTGTGTTCTTTTACCCTCCATCCTTCCCTCCCTTTCTTCTCCAGCCTGATCCGTTTGTGGTTTGAGATGCAGAAATTTAGCAGCAGCCCCTCACCCCAACACTGAAACCCACCACACCGCTCGTGTTTTTTTAGTTCAGCCTAGTTTTATTTGAATTCCAGCACACGTTTCATGCCTTGCAGAGTGTTTTAAAGTTAAGCTATTATATTTTAAAAAAAGACAATAGATAAGGTACCTAACTCTCTTTGATTTTGTTTGTTTCATAGTTATTGAAACCCATTTTGTCATTGGTTTTCAGTGAACACCGACTCTTATTTCTATTGCTGATTTAATGAAGCTTGTATATTTTAAAGTATTTTATTACCAGACATACCAGAGCTCTCTCCACTGCTCGTTCCATGAAATATTGCTTCAGGCAGCTCTAGCAATTCCTCAAGTTAGTAGAAATTCTATGCTACTACTTATTAATGCAAGCAGCCCAATGTCAGACATTAGCTACAGGGTTTTATTACTGAAAATAAACCTTTCACACACATCTCGTCGCAAAGAAAAAGACCCAAGCAGCAGTTGTACCCACAATTCATAAGGCTCTTTGTCGCTTGTTAGCGGCCATAAATCAGTCCCTTTTAGATTGTGCAGCAGCCGCTGACCTCGCATTGTTCACCTCTCCTGCTCATCCTGACGAGTCTTGAAGGAGCCAGACCCCCATAAACGCTCCCAGATGCAGAGATGTCCCTGCATAGATGTATGTATACATGGTAGAGCTTAGTGTGCATGTAGGGATGTAGCCTCGGAAAACTCAGAGGGACATTTGAAATTCTCATGGGAAACTCGGGATGTTGTTTTTAATAGAGCGGTGGACATCCAGCCTGTCCTGTGCTGCATTCAGTGAAGGATATAAGGAGCGTTTCATATTTAGTCTTCACACTCCTCTGAACTTTGGACAGTCATGGTGAAATTATTGCCGTCCAATTGGTCCCAGTCATTTGTTCCACCCTGGTCTCGGCTACCTACTGCTGACTTCACAAGGGTTCCTTAATCAAAAAGACATTCTGTAAAGACGCACTTTTTATGCTTTTTTATAAATCTCTTTTACAGGCTGCTTTCAAGTTTGATAGCTGGCAAATTATGAGGCAAAAGCAAAGCAGTAAATGATCAGATGAGCGGGTAACGAGAGCAGCTTCACGTATCGCTCCCTCTCTGTACCTACTGCCCATCCAGCAAAGCAGGCCAAGATGAGACTGTGGTAGGGTTGCATCCGTGGGGCTGGTAAATCAGGAGATCATGAGAAAAGCCAAGACTTGTGTGCGCCATCCAAGGCCAGAAGTGATTATTGTTAATGATGGTTTCCACCCTGGAAAGCCACCAGGACTGTGAACAGTTGAGCAAGCCAGTACTTAAGGGACCCTGTAAAAACAGTTAGCTTAACATAGAGTAGGGTTGTTAAGAAGGAAGGCGGCAGGAAGTCAACATTAGCCCTTACCACATACATCACATATAAGTGTTTGTCAGGAAAGTTTGATCCAAGAGCCGGCTCTTCCTTCATGTTTAAGTAATCCAAAGATTTGAGCGCCTTTGAACTGAGCGTAGAGGAAGTTCAGTGACTGCTTGTTAGTTGTTTTTATCGAGGTAAACAAAGTGGACATCTCCAATTGCTGCTTCAGTGCTGGAGAGTGGATGAATAGGGACTTTCTTAACTGCCTGTTGTATAATCTCAGCACCACAAACACACACACACACACAGGAGATGTGGGGGTGTGTGTCAAATTGATGCAACTGGAACAAATCCACTCAAGTAATATAATTATACAGCACATAGCCTTGGAGGCCTTTATCTGAGTGTTACTTGTGCGCACACACACACACACACACACACACACGGGGCAGGATATACATAGACCTACACATTTACTCAAATACAAAAATGAAAAACCTTCTTTTTCCTACTTTTTCACTCTGAAGTTTCGGTTATTTTTGCTGTCCTCTCTTGAAATGTTTGCCTCTACAAATCCACTTAATTGCTTTTTCCAACACTAACACAATTTACATTTTTTCATAAGCGATATGGAGACAAGACTAAAACATTCTGAAATACTAATAAGTAACAGCTGGTGTAGGGTATCTTGCCGAGGAAAGATTGTCTTGTCCGTGGACTGAAAACAAATAGTGCCTTCAGTGTTTTGAAGCAACGCTTCATTCACAGCAGACTCGGTAGGGTGACCTGCAAGTTTAATTATTGGCTCATTATGCTTTATTAAACCAGTAATTAAAGGAGCACTTTTTTCTTCTTTTTTTTAAATAGGCCTATTTTCTTTCTTGTTGAGAGTCTAATGAAAAGATTGATACCATTCTCATGTCTGCAGGTTAAATATAAGCTCCAGACAAAAGTGCCTGGCTTAGTTTAATTAGCATAAACACGGCAAACAAGGAGAAATTGCTGGAATTGCTCTGAGGGAAGGTGAAATCTCTAGAGCCTACTAATCACAACTTTATCGGCACAAAAACGACACTTGTGGAATGACAGTGTGGAGCTTACCTTCTTCTGGCTTCAATTCTTTACTGAGAGAGGTGCCTTTGCTTTAATGTGACTCTCAACAAGCAGTGGGCCAGTGTGTATTCATATAATGTTCCCAACACAAGATAAGCTGTCATGTCGCTATTACTTGGGCTTCATTTATAAAAA